CCCACTTCACCCCAAACAGCCTGCAGGAACCCATTGCCATCCTGGGGACCGCCCCTATCAGAATTACATCAGCAACGGCTGGTGTAATCAAACCCCATTTGTCAGTGTGAATTCTTAGCAGATTAACTTGTCAGATTCACAGAGAAACTGTCACCAAATGTTTATGTGTAAACGATGTTGAATTTTAAAATCATGTGGATTATGGCGGATGGGGCCTGACAAGATGACAGTCTCTGGTTTCTAACAAAGTGAAGTTACCAGTGTCAAAACAGAGGATGTTTATTGTTAAAAATGTCTCAAAGTATCCACAGAAACCCCTGAAGACCCCTGCCAGCAATGCTGGGCCTTGGTTGGCTGACCTAAAGCCTGGGACTCTCCTGGTCTGAGTCCCAGGGCAGGAATGGTGGAGCTCCGGACAGACTAGGGCAGCCAGCTGGGAGCCCCACGCAGCACCGCATGACACCACCCCACCCTACCCTGCACTCATACACCCCAGAGTGGTCAGGCCCAGACAGTTGAGTGGTCTCAGAGCATCCCCTCTACCCATGACCACCTTCCTCTCCCTCTCTGCCCACCACAGCCCCTCACCCCCCATCACACCCTCCTTCCACTTCTCCCCTTCTCTCACCACCATCAGCCTCAAGTGCCTCTCCCTCCCTCTTCCCCCCAGCCCCTCCCAAGGCTGACAGCCAGTTCTCAGCCTCCCTGCCTGGAACTGGAAAGCATGAAACTGCTCAGGTCCGATATGGGCGTTTGCAATCCCCCAGCCCAGCCAGCTCCTGCAGTCAGTAACCCCCACAGGATGCTCCTTGTGCCTCACTGTCCACCGGGCCCTCTGTCCAGAAGCACCCACCCTGGGACTGAGGAGTGGACTTCCCACCTGAGGGGCCTTGCCATGGGTGGGGATGTCACTTGTGTGAGTACTTGGCCCTAGTTGAAATTCTCCCCAGTACATTAAAAGGTTAGGGAATTAGGGGAAGAGAGATGCTGGAAGGCATCTTGCTAAAAGTTCTCTAAAAAGAATGAAGGCTATCTGTGCCAATATAGAAAGATCTTTAAAATATATAAAATCTGAATAAAGTGAGTGTGGCTAGTATGATTGTAATGTTGTAGGGGGAAGCTTACATACCAAGTATATATACTTGTAAATCTGCATAAAGAAATCTGAAAGCATACAGAGCTCTACCTGGGGAACAAGGCCAGGGGCGCAAGAAGGGAGACAACTGGGAGGATGAGCCTCACTTTACCTTCCCTTTTTTCCTCTTTTGTGCTGTGAGAGATTTGCACCACGGATTACTTTTATTTAATAGAGGAAATCTATTTGACTGTAGCCTCGGGGCCATCTTGGTACAACTTTGTCAAGGACTCTTTTGCCCTCCCCTCAGAGTTCCCTCAAGCTAACCCCTCTCCCCACATCTGTGAGTCCTGGATACGCTCCATATTCCATCTTTGGTTTCCTACCTTTTAATACCTAAAGCACTGGCCTGCCTGCCTTAGAGGGAGAGGATGTGTAGTAAGGCGAGTGTTCCGAGTCCAGGACTAGCCATGCAGTAGGGGTGGGAGGAAGGGGCTGCCTTCCGCTCCCTCAGCTCAGAGTCCTGGGAGCGGTCTGTGTGGAAGCCACCAGTCAGGGCAGCTCTCAAGACACAAGGAGCACAGTCCTGTGCGGGAGGCAGGGGTCCAAAGCAGGTAGCCAGCCCCAGCCCAGCATGGTCCTCCTAAGGCCAGCAGGGGAGGGGTGTCCTCAGCTAATCACCTGCCTGAGGGAAGGGATTTGTGGAAGGACCAAGAAATGTCTTCACCCCCCACCCCACCCCAGGACCACACTCCCATCCAGAGAGAGGAGAGGCAGCCAGTGTCTGTCTCCTGTCCTCAGAAAGGTTCTTCTCCTCTTATGCCAACAGAGGAGCCAATCCGGCTACTGCGGGAGGTGGTGCTGCTGACAGATGACCGCAACCTGCGGGTGAAAGCGCTGACGAGGAATGTGCCCGTGCGGGACATCCCAGCCTTCCTCTCATGGGCCCAGGTGGGCTGAGGGGGCCACACCGGGGCCCACCGCCTATGGAACCGTTCCTGAGAGGCCACCAGGTGCCCAGTGTAGCACGGAAGATGCCCACATGCCTGAGCCACCAATCCACCCAGACAATAAACCATCCTCTTCCAACCCACACCGTGGCCGTGCTGTGGGGGAGCTGCTCCTCACAGAGCCCCTCCCAAGGGTTGGGTGGAAGCTGCTGGGACCCTCCTGGGCTGTCAAGATTTAGTAGGGAGGTGACTGGCTGCAGTGACAGCAGGTAGGCGAGCTAGATAGGCTGCTCATGCCCTCAGCCTTTCTGCCTCCCCCTGTCTACTTCAAGGGATGGGGGGGGCCTTCTCAGCCTGGGACTCAGCCACTTTCTCAAGTGGAGATGGGTCAAGGAAGTTAGTTTCCAACAGATGCAGGTGAAATGACAGGTCCCTTTAATCTCCTTCAGAACCTGTCCTTAATGTGTCCCAGAGGCTTAGCCATGCCATGAAAAAAGTATCCAGGATGCGGCTTTCCCTCGAGGCCGGATTCCCACATGGACCCAAGTTGGGCTCTGGACACCATGTTCTAAACAGCAGCCCTAGACCCCCACTTCTACCCCACCCCACCCCAAACATACGCCCCCCGTCCTGCTGTTCATCCCACCCTTGTCAATCGGTTCATTATACTTTGCCACTTGTTTTCCCTGTGGATGGTCATGGGTCTAGAGGGAAGGGACATCTGGTCTGAGGCCCATGCTTCCTGGGTGGCCTTTGCCTGCTTCCTCTACCCTCTTTGGCCTTCCTTTTGCTCTAGTTCCCACTGAACAAAATTTCCTCTGATTTTTCTCAGTTCTCCCCTCCTCTCTCCTTGTCCTCCCCCCCCCC